GATTCCCAGAGAAGCCCACTTTCTGTGGTATACTTTCAACTCACAGAATTTACGTTCTTTTTCTCCTTTCTGGGGTCAGTGACATGGGTCAAAGGCATTTAATCAAAGCCTCATAGAGAGATGAGTCCTATCGTCATGCGGTGTGATGATCAAATTTTTGTCTTCCGTCAAAAAAATGTATTTTGGGAACAGACCAGAGTATGATGTGTGAGGTCTTCTTACAGTCACTGCAGAAATATGTGTATGGCACAGATCTGCTAGGCTCGTTATTTCATCTGTCTCTGGATAAATACTGAAGTTGTAATTAGTATGGGTAATAAATACTTAGGAAACACGAGGACGTGTCTTCTTTAGTGCACTCTGAGTTCAGCTAGCTAACGCCAAAATTACCTTCCGATCTCTGAACCAAAATAACGAATGCCCAAGAAAGCAATGCAACGGCAGGGAAGTCTACAGGCCAGATGCCTGATTGCTGCTGCAGAAATCATGATATAATGCAGCTTATAGTAAGAAAAACGAAGACAAAAAACTTCTCAAGCCAGCATGTGATGCCACAATTTACAATGTTTGGCTACTTTGGGCTTTAGGAACACCTTGCTAATAGCTCTGCCAATTATTTAAGGGATGTAATTTAATTTCTTCTGCATCACACAGTGGTTTATTAAAGAACTCATATTTAGCTCCTCGGCCCTGGAGGACCAGCTCATTTGCTACTGTGGCCAACAGCTTCCAAGCTCTCTCTGGTGACTTCCCCATCGTCCTAAGGCCAACAGGAAGGGGGAAGCTTGATCCTGGGTATTAATCAAGTGCAAATAAAGACTTCGTTGATGAGCTAGACCCTACATCTCAAACTTAAATCTGAGCTTGTAAAATAAGAAGACAGGATGATGTTCTAGTCTCAAGGTATTGGAGAAAATCTCTGGTCCCACGTAAGGTCCTTTGTCCTGAGCCCACGGTGTTTGCTGTATGACAAAGCCCTGGGCAGTCCTTTGTATAATTGCTTTCTTTTTTTTTTTTTTTTTTTTGTCAAAGAAGTGGAGAACAAAATAACATGGGAGACAAGGAAGGGAAATGAATCACTAGCAAGAAACTTAACGGGAAGGGGAGATTCGGAAAAGAACTCCAGCCAAAGATGTATCTCTAAGCACTTAGAGTGGTCCCTGTTGACTTTCAAGCCTGGGAACTGGAAGCTCGATTTCCAATGCAAATTAAAGAACTGAGGAATTTGTCAGAACTGATGAGGAAAAAAAAAAAAAGAAATTGGGATTCCCCATTTGCCCGGGTGCCAGAAGTTACTTCAAGTCTGTGCATTACCTGGTTCTAGAAATACCCAGGCCAATACTTCCCTCTACCGCTTGGAAGCAATTCTACACCACGAGTCAAGCAGAACGAGTTATACAAAATAGCATACCTGTTTCACAGGTGCAGGAACTGAGGCATAAGTATTAAAGTTGACTTCTGCAAAGTATACAAGGAAAAGTGTAGCAATGGTTCAAGACTCACTCACTTTTGTAGAACATCTATAGGTAAGTGCAGACAAATTTGCCTTTCTGAATGTGTATCTTAACCAAAGTGACTCTGTTATGTGAAGATAGGAGGCTTGGCAAAAGGAAATAGATTTTTAAAAATAGATATTTAAAATAGATTTTTAAAAAATTGATAGTCACAGCTCTTAACATGTAGAGAGCTTGAAAGTCATCATTCCAGCCCTCCCAAGAAAAAAACGTTCATCAAAATTAAAATCAATAGGGTGCCTGGGTGACTCAGTCATTAAGTGTCTGCCTTCGGCTCAGGTCATGATCCCAGGGTCCCGGAATCGAGGCCCACGTCCGGCTCCCTGCTCATCGCGGAGCCTGCTTCTCCCTGCTCATCGCGGAGCCTGCTTCTCCCTGCACCTGCCACTCCCCTGGTCATGTCCTCTCTCTCTCTCTCTCTCTGTCAAATGAATGAATAAAACCTTTAAAAAAATTTTAAAAAATTAAAATCAATAAATTTTCTTAGAGCCATCAGAAAACTGGGGTCACTGGACAAAACACCATCCCCCAAACTAGAAAGACTGGTAAACACAGAGAACATTGATCAGCTTACCTGAAGGAGAGGCCCGGAAGCCAGCACTGGTAGGGACTCTTACAAGGTAACTGACAAGGCACTGGAGGCTGAATGGGACTAGCCTCAGTTAAAAACTCCCGAGAGCCCCGGCCAAGGGGGACGGTGGGGGAGGGAACCCCTCCTTCTGGGACTTTATGTTCAGGAGCACCACCAGTTCTTACAGTGAAGACCTCAGAAAAGTTCCCTCTGTGTGGCCCGGGGAGGGGAAAATTAACCATTTTGAAATATGCCTAGGGGAAAAAAGTATCTTTTTGAAATGCCCCCAAGTGCATTCTGTTTTGCATAACAAAAGCCCACCATCAAAGGAAACTGCTTTATCAGAGCCTTAACTAAGGTGGGGGAAATTCCGACTCTAGTACCTTCTAGTCTCCCAGGATCACCAAAGTGGGAAAGAAGGGAAGCTGACCAGCCGTTTGTGAAGGTCACAGCCCCGAGACAGGAGCGCGCAACAGTGAGACGTAATCGCTGGATTCTAGGATGTTTCCCTTCCCCTGCACTGTCCCACCGCATCACCAGGGATCCTGTATATAGGATGTGTGTATATATATAAAACAGTGGATTACAGCTGAAAGAATGAACGGCAAGGCTCAGACTCTGGTTAAGAAGGAATTTCTAAGGCCAAGACTGGGGGAGAGACAAACAAGGACATTAGATCAAATAGAAACCTCTGACACCTACAAGCTATAGGAAACATTCAACACGGCCTAACTCCAAGGAAAACAAACATAAAAATCTCACAGTAAAGGCCGATTTACTTCAGTTCCTTTTCTCCAAGACATCATGAATGGCTTTCAACAAAAAAATGACAAGGCATGCTAAGAGATAAAAACCACAATCTGAAGAAAGAAAGCAAGTATCAGAAACAGTCGTAAATATGGCAGAGATTTTGGAATTATCAGAAGCTGAAGATAACTGATTAAAATGCTAATGGCTCTCATGGAAAAAGTGGCCAACATACAAAAAGAGTAATGTGCAGAGAGATGGAAACAATCAGAGAGAGAGAATCTCAAAAAATCGAAAGGAGGGACGCCTGGAAGGCTCAGTCGGTTGAGCATCTGCCTTCGGCTCAGGTCATGATCCCGGGGTCCTGGGATCGAGCCCTGCATCGGGCTCCCTGCTCCGCGGGAAGCCTGCTTCTCCCTCTGCCTGCTGTTCCCTCTTTCTCTCTCTCTTTGACAAATAAATAAAATCCTAAAAAAAAAATCAAAAGGAAATTCTAGAAATAAGAAACATTGTAAAAATGAAGAATGCCTTTGATGGGCTCATTAGTAGACTGGACATGGACAGTTAGCAATTAGCTTGGAGGTATGTCCATAGAAATCTCCCAATGTGGAATGCAAAGAAATAAAAGAATGAAAACCAACAACACTGGAACAGACTATCCAAGAAGTATACAATACCAAGAATAAACGCTAATCGAAGTTCTGGGTTTTGGGGGATTATGTGTCAATGTAGATGCATCATTTGTAACCAATGTACCATTCTGTTGAGGGATACTGATAGTGGAGGGTATGCATGTGTGGGGACAGGGGGTATGTAGGAACTCTCTGTACCTTTTTGTCTTTTTTTTTTTTTTAAGGTTTTATTTTTTAAGTAATCTCTACACCCAGCATGGGGCTCAAACTCACAACTGCAAGATCAAGAGTCACATGCACTACTGACTGAAACAACCAAGTACCCCATCCCTTCTCTTCAATTTTGTTGTGAACCTAAAACCTCTCTAAAAAATATCCCCATTTTACAGATAAGAAGATGGAGGCAGAGAGATTAAATTAAATAGCTTGCCTAAAATTTACCAAGGTCTACCAGGTACAAAATAGGGATTGGCAGAGTCAATGTATCTTGCAGATCAATTCATAAAGCACATGTAGAGTTCCTTTTAATTTAATCAGTTTTGTGTTGCTAGACCTTCAAGTTGCTTCTAATCTGATTTAGAAATAATGCTACAGCTGTCAGCTCAAAATGAACAGACCTTTTGGAATCTCTAAAAGTAAGCAAGAGCTTTATTCGAGCCCAAGTTAGGACAGCTACCCAAGGCACATGCTCTTCACAGGGAAGAAAGTGCTCCAGAGAACTAACAGTTTTTACAGAGTTCTGTACTTTTTTACATATTATAAAAGCTCAAAAGATGATGGGTTAGCCTATAGGCAGGAATCATGAGTTTCATCATAAAGGAATGCAGGGAGTGGGAGCCTTGATCAATATCTCAAGGACAAGATGGTTTTCCTTTAGGCCAATCATTCACAAAGCAGATGGACAAGGCATGCATGGCAGGCCATACATCAGGTTTTTGGTTTGAACAAAGTTAATATACAATCCTGTTGACTTAAAAAGAAATCTAAAATGGCTTCCCTTGTATGTCAGGGCTTTAGAGAGTTTTTCTCTCATCATTTCCTCCTTTTGATCAATAATCTTCTGACAGAAAGCATTGATGATCATTATTTTGTCCCTCGATACTAGGGTGATTGCTTATCTGCCCTGGGTCCTTCATGTCCCTCGGTGCTAGGCCCCATTTAGGTCACCCAGCCATCTCCATCGGGGTGGTGATGGTGGGGGGAGGTCAGCAATATGGCCTTTAGTAGGGAATATTATAATTGATATATATTTTTTTTTCAATGAGAGGGAATTGTGCAAACATTACATGTGTGCTTTGTGGTGAGTTTTGCCTTTACATTTTTGGGTAACAGCATAAATATAGAAATAATAATAAAACTCCAATTAATAATATTCCAAGTAACTAATGGGGAGAGTAGGTACAGAAATACAGTGACAAGAATCCAAAAAAATCCATTACAAGTATTTTGATAACCTTAAATTCGGTATGTTTACCTTTTTTATCTATAGTTATTTGTACTTTGTGATATGTTTGATAGGATTGGTTTAAAATGGTCATTAAATTTTCTGTTATTGGGGCGCCTGGGTGGCTCAGTTGGTTAAGCGACTGCCTTCGGCTCAGGTCATGATCCTGGAGTCCCGGGATCGAGTCCCGCATCGGGCTC